CTGGGCAATCACGAAGTTTCGTCCGTACTTGTACGGGAGCCCGCTCCGTGTAGTCACCGACCATCAATCGCTCTGCTGGCTTGCGAACCTCAAGGACTTGTCAGGACGCCTCGCTCGATAGAGTCTCCGACTACGGGAGTTTGACATGACTGTGGTCTACAAGTCAGGCCGCAAGCAGAGCGACGCCGACTACGTGTCTAGAGCCCCTGTCGAAACGCCTTCCGGCAGCAGCGACGACGATGACGACGAGTGCTTCCTAGGCGCATTGAATATGACGACATGGCACGACGTCAAAGAGACGATCCTAAGTTGCGCGCTCTAGTCGAGCACCTCGAAGGACGAGGGGGGACTGTCCCCCGCGTCTTCTCGAGAGCCCTGCCGACATTCGTCCTCCGACAAGGTGTGCTTTACAAGGAGAACTTCAGAGACAACAGCTCGCCATGGCTGCTGGTAATCCCTACCGACCTTAAAGCGGAGATCTTCCAAGCCTGCCACGACGACCCGACGTCCAGACACCTTGGTTACAGCCGTACGCTGGCCCGAATTCGCGAAAGGTATTACTGGCCCAAGCTGCCGAAGACCGTTCAGCTCTACACACGATCGTGCCACGAGTGCCAGCGACGCAAGAAACCGCCGACGAAGTCGGCAGGGCTCCTGCAGCCGATTGCTCCCTCAACCGCACCGTTCCAGCACATCGGAATGGATCTACTTGATCCTTTTCCACCATCGACGCAAGGAAACAGATGGATTATCGTCGCCACCGATTATCTCACACGGTACGCCGAAACGAAAGCCCTTCCTGCAGGGACTGCTGTGGAAGTCACCAAGTTCTTTATCGAGTCCATCGTTCTCCGGATCGGCGCTCCCGAAGTTCTGATCTCAGACCGTGGATCATCTTTCATGGCCCAGCTAACGCAGGAAATCCTCCATCTCAGCCACACCAGCCATCGACGCACAACGGCGTACCACACGCAGACCAACGGGCTGACGGAAACTCAACAAGACCATCGCCGACATGATCTCCATGTACGTTGACGTGGAGCACAAGACATGGGACGAGGTGTTGCCGTACGTCACATTTGCCTACAACACGGCTGTGCAAGAAACCACTGGGGTGACACCCTTCCAACTGGTTCATGGTTGAAAGTAACGACAATGCTGGACGCAATGTTACCCCACGAACAGGCTGTCGACGGAAGTGACGACGCCCAGGTGGTTGCCCAACGGGCAGAAGAAGTCCGCCAGCTCGCCAGACACCGTATTCAAGCCCAACAACGTGTCGACACTGGCCACTACAACCTTCGTCGTCGGGACGTCCACTTCCAGCCCGGAGACAGGGTGTGGGTGTGGACACCGATCCGCCGCCGTGGTCTCAGCGAGAAACTCCTAAAGCGCTACTTCGGACCCTACAAAGTACTTCATCGACTCGGGGATCTAAACTACGAGGTGATGCCCGACGGAATACGGACTTTATTACGCCGCCCTCCACGACCGGAAGTCGTCCACGTCGTGCGCCTCAAGCCGTACTACGCGCGATAAGACTGCGAACTGTGATCTTGTGCAACGCTTGATAGGATTGTGTTTTACCAGCTTCCGTATTTTGCCATTCTTTTATTTTTCTTGCTCTGCTTTGTTGCCTTCTACGCGGCATCGAGACAATGCCTTTTTAAAGGGGGGAGTAATGCCACGCTCGTCGGCGAGCGACCGCGTGCGTGGCCGAGTGGTTATCGCGCTTGACTGTCGCGCAGAAAGTCTAGGTTCGATTCCAGTCCAGTGGAATGCTCCTTTTATTTATTCTTTCAACGTTTCGTTCTCGTGAGTTCAAAAACATTCTCACCTGATCAAGTTCCGAAAGCTCCAGTCGTCGAATATTCTACGCCGATTATTCCAGAAGCCCACGCATGTACATAAGGGGCTCCGCGTGGCGAGCCACAGTCAGTTTCGCCCCAGCGTTCGACTCTGCTCTTTCGCCGACTTCGACGCCCGCGACGCTCTACTGTTATCTTTTGTTTCCTTCTTTATTTTGGGCACAAGTTCACCCGATTAAACGTTTAGTTTACTCAGTTATTTGCCGCCTCACCAGATTTGTCTCCCACGTCGTGAGGGAAGCCTCACGACGTGGGAGACAAAGGAGTGATAGTACCAGGACTGTATTTTGGCAATGCAGTACTGTCCATGAAATCAGAGGTTCAATCAGGACTAGAAATTCGACAAAGGAGCCTAGGCAGATTGGCACTGGGAGCACATGTAAGGACATCAAATGAGGGAGTACAGGTGGACACGGGATGGTTGTCTTTTGAGAGCAGGGAGGCAATTAGCAAGTTGAACTGTAAACAAAAATGGCGGAAATGCATGATACGTGGTGGGCACAGAAGGTATTCAAGTATTTATGCATTAAAAGTTTAAACACAAATGGACAAACCGAACCCGAAAGCTTACATTTAAATACCTACACACAGGTAATGGGGCTGAGCAGACTACTTCAGTGGAAAGGGGAGTGAAAGAGGCAGAGAGGAACATATGGGAGGGAAGAATGAAGGAGAAATCAGCTCTAACCGTGTCAGGTCGCGAAAGCAGGACATAAGAAAGGAAGATGTGTTCAACAATTCACTGGGAAGTTCTTTGCTGTTCGAGGCAAGAACGGGTGTTTTGAGGACGAGGACGTATAGAACTCAATTTCAGGAGACAGACACATTATGTGCCACCTGCCATAATGATAGCGATACACTAGAGCACTTGGTTTTGAAGTGCACGGGGCTTCGCCCTGCCCTCCCTGAAGGGGTAACAGATTAGGCCGGGGCCCTGGGTTTTACTGGTGACGATGAATGGACGGAAGAGAAAAAGATTACAATGACAAAGAAGCGATTAGAGGATTAGTGGAAATTATCTAGGGAAAATAGAATGATGGACAACTAACTAGCACAGCTGGGGACAGGCAGGACAGAGGAAATTTGGGACTCCCTCCCGCGTGGCTCCAGTGCAAAGTCTGTTTCCCAGAGAGCCCGGGGCTGGGGTAACGCTGACAAGGTTTGACCAGACAAAAATTGGCGAGTCTCTCGCCAGGGCCCGTTTGCTCGAAGCCGGAAAACTTTAACCGCGGTTAAGAGTTCAGCGCCCTTCCCTACTAGGTACCTACAAGTACCTAGCCAAGTTGACGAGGGCTGCGCGTGCTGACGCGTGCAAGGCAAAATTTGTTTTAGGCTTTTTGCTTTAGAACAGTTACTACTGCAGACGCCAGCACGTGCAGCACATGTAACTATACACTAGTAGCATGCCCCTTGGTGCTTGGGAAAGTTAGCAAAACGACTATTGGGACGCCGTCTGCTTCTGCGTGCTATCAATACCCAGCAGATTGACTCAAGGCAATGCACTTTCTGAAGGCGTTGCCATGCCGACAATTATCGCGTTCATTTTAGGCTTAGGAATGGCCAGAATCGAAAGACTATCTAAAAAAATGTGGCAAGGTCATTGCTTACGGTATGCTTTGCGATTCAAGTGAGGTAAGGCAAAGCGAAGGCCTCCTGAACCATTTATTGCTGACTAACGCACCCGATATTGCAGCTACAATGACATGGTAGTTCCAAAGCGAGCGGCGCTCACTAACCGGGGGGCACCGCCATGTTTCCCCGCCGTCCTTCCTCTGCCGGTCACGTGACCTAAAATTCCCCCTCGGGCGGAAATGCGGTTAACTTCTAATTGCGGTTAGAGTTAACCAGCTTCGAGCAAACGGACCCACGGGAAAGAGGCAGGATGCTTTTAGTCTTTTTTGCCAAAACCCCCGAAGGTCATCCTGGTGATATTTTACACTGCCTGGTGATAGTTAGAGGGAGAAAATTGGTCTTAGAAGGGCGGGAGGAATCATATGTTTTTGTCTTTTTAGAGTTAGGCTAGGTGGCGCAAGCTACCGCCCGTTACAAAGGGTATAGCCATTAACATCCATCCATCAATCCATCCATTGACTGCCAAATTTAGTGGGGAAACTGAATTAGTGCATAGGTCCCGACGTCTATTTTTTCGCTAAATCCTTGTCATCCTTGAGATCACCCTAGAGGTCATCCTTGAGGTCGTCCTAGACGTCGCTCTTAACGTCCTAAACGCCGTCCTCGACGTCGTCTAGGACGACGTCAAAGACGACATCTAGAACACCCTGAGATGACCGCTAGGACCACTTCTAGGATGACCTCTAGGACGTCAAAGACGATATCTAGGACAACCTCTAGGGTGATCTTAAGAACAACCTCTAGGACGACGTCGAAGACGACCTCTAGGACAACATCAAGGTCGTTAGGTCCTTCAAAGAGGGTGCGAATGTGAAGGAGCACACACTGCTGCTCCGCATACGCGCGACGCAATGGGGTGCAAGCACAGCGAGCTGAAATAGTCTACTGCGCATACCTACTGCACATTAGGAGGCCAGAATATACATGACTGAAAATCTTTCGCAGCTTAATAATGCTATCTCATTAAAAATCGAGGAACAGGTGGAGCGGCGTCTGAAAATTATATCCTCGTCATATATTAACTCTACAGGGCGAGTGACGATCCCATAAAGAAACCCAAATATTTGAGTGCGTCAGAAATTTTGGTGCCCTAAAACTCGGTCAGTGACTACAAGTATGGCACTCATTTCGATGCAAAGAAGACATTGTGCCAAAAAGTGCAAAAAAATTGCAGCTCCGAAAGTTGGTGAAAGCAATTGCGAGCAAAGCCCACTGACATGGTTCACACAAAGCACAGAAAGGATAAAAAGTTGTTCGGAAGAGTGTCTAAACAGAATAAACTGTCTCGGTGGCTGTGATTCCGTCCAACATCAGGCAAAACGACCCAAAGCCTATCGACCTCCTAACCCAATAATAAAGTGACTAAGTTGGTTCATGACTATAAGCATATAAAAATGGTGCGCAAAAGACAAGGATCAACGAAAGAAGTACACAGGACGGCACTGGTCCCGTGTACTTCCTTTTAGGAGTAAGCGGCCTCGCAGCCCGAAGAGGCCTCACCTTCCTGGGGCGACATGTCGTCTAGGTTGGGGAGCCCCTGGCTGCCCGCTAGCTGCGACATCATGCGGGGCAGGCTGGCCAGGGTCACTTGCGACGGCGACACCAGCAGGCCGCTCCGCCCCTCCTGACCAGGCGTCCCGCTGCTCGCCGGAGAGATGTCCATGTCCTGCGTCTGCGAGTCTGCCCGTCCCCCCAAGGTCACTCTTCGGCTGGGCCAGCTGTCCCCACCGCCCCCAACCCTGGGGACACCGGGGCTGTGGCATGCAACCATTTCTCCCTTCGCCTCTCCGTGACGCGTTTGAGGGTCCACCTCCGAGCTAATGGCGTATTTGCACCACAGAGCTTTTCTCCGCAAAGGGGAGCTCTGCTAAGTTTTCCAGCTACCTAATCCGAGAGCGTCGTTTGAATGCTGGTGGCTTCTTCAATCCAAAATGCTATCTCCCTTCTCCCAAATTCACTCTTAATTAATTTAGAAAAGTTATATTTAGTTTGACAACTTTGGTTTCCCTAGTTTCCCATTTTCCCCTACTACCCAAACGTGACATCACCGGCAGATGGCATGGTGTGCGGCTGGCAATCAGTTACGCTCGTGCGTGTGTCTAACAGCAAACAGACAGGGGTGTTTGTGCTATCTGAAGAATAATCTCTATTTGCATAAGGTATGGTTTACGTGCTGAGCTATGAGAAGAAAGCGATGCAATTGGGATTTTGAGGACACCATTTAAGCAACTTGGTACGCTCGAGAGTTTTGCGAAATTGCCAGTTTAAATCTCCTTCTACCACAAGCGAGCAATTACATTGGCAAAGAAAGGTCAAAGAGAATCACAGTACGCCTTTTACCAAATTATCCAAGTAGCACAAGAAATATTAGTACAGGTGCTGAACATGCTTGCCTTACCCGGTAGCACATTACATTTGTTCTAGATTTGCTTTAGAAAAGTTACTTTAAAAGACGGCAGTAAGTAGAACTACATGCGTACTTGCAGCATGCAACTTGGTGCATAGATAATTTAGCAAAACGTCTATAGACCCTTCCAGAAAGGCATTTCTGGTTAGTGTTGTTTTCAACATCTGTGCATAAGGTGCGTGTTTTGCTTGCCTTTCGATGCGATGAACAAGTGCATGCTGGGCTGTGACCTAACGCTTGTGTGCTGCGATTTTCGTGAACACCCAAATGGTGTGGGGTTTGCAAAGCTTTCCCTCTCGAGAAACGCATAACATTGTCCGAAGAGCCCCTCCCTCGTACTGATGCAATAAAGCACCACAGAAGCAGATCTTATAAATAGTAATGCACATACTAGCGAGTGTCTGCCACACAGTTACGCATCAATCCATGGCTTCGACTAAAATAGTAACTGGAAGAATGTCTCAGGGACAGCTGAGGAATTTTAGAGGAAACCCTCCAGGGTACTCTGGGAAATTCAGTTCCAAAAGAATGGAATGAACCACATTCGTATACACCAGGCAGATTTACTCTTGATGAAGATCATGCTAAAATTAAAACTACTCCACAACCACCCAGCTAAATATCATCAAGGTGCAACGAGAGGCCTATAAAATACACAAACACACTATCACATCTTTAAGCAAAGGATGGTTGCTTGAAGATGCAATACTGCCTAAGGTACCGGATTAAATCATAAAATTGTGATAATTGATCAATTACGTAAAATACGAACGAGCGCAGAATTTATAATACATAGAATGTCAAAGTGAGGGATAAAATCGGCACATTACCGCAGATTTTATCCATCGATTCAACATTATGCAATAACGAATTCTGCACTTATCGCTCCATTGTCACTAGAAGGACAGCGAAAGACATTTAGTAGCCGTAGTTTTGTTGCCTTGGCCGAACAATCGCACACTGGCAGCGAAACGAGAAACATCCTCGACGGCCACCTGAGCCATCACTGCAAAATGCGGCAGTATTACCGCTAGCGAGGGGACAGAACGGCACAGCTCTTAGTAAAAAAAACTGACTGCATCTCCACGTGGTGATGTTGATTGGGGCGAAGCTCTGGTGGTGCTTGTCTGCGTGGACGCTGAGCCGCAGCATGCCGAGCCTTTTGTTCGTTTTCATCCATGTCAGAAAAAGGATGTGTGGTATGGAACATGGTTATATACGCATTTGAGCATTTGACCGCAGCGCCCTCTCCTGTATAGACGTTGAGCGGCTACATGCAACGTTTCATCCATGACATCCCCAGCTCTTGAGTTACTACCACATCTCAGAGCCCCCTAGTTGTCCCACCATCGTGGCCAAGTGGTTAAGGCGATGGACTAGAGATCCATTGGGGTCTCCCTCCATGGGTGCGAATCCTGTCGACTGCGCAAACATTTTTTTTTTTTAATTTTTTGCCTTACACGAGCTTGTGAGCACGTGAGCTCACAAGCAGGAGCACCAGCAAGATCAATGTGAGCACGGACGCCGGATGGACAAGGCTAGACCCTAAAGAGCTTCGCCCCTAAAAGGAGCCCAAAAACTCCCAGGGCCACTCACCCTTACGCAGGTCCGAGTTTCGTGCCGAGGAAACGCTCGGCCGCCGTGTGTCCGACCGTGCAGCCTGCTGGTACGGCCTTGTGGAGCTCGACACGGCAGAGCTGCTGGAATGCTTGTCACCCTCTGCAAAGGGAGCATCCCCTGTGGACCCCCGCCGGCCAAGGGCACCGCTCCAAACTCCACACAAACACCAACTGCATATTAAACACGCCCTTCCGTAATAGCACAAAAACAACTGCCACCCCCCAGTTTCGGTCCCGTTTTGTGTCTGACAGGGTTCATACAGAATGTTTGATGCAAAATTCAAGGACTTTTCAAGGATTTCAAGGGCATCAGAATACAAAATTCAAGGAGGGTTTGAAAAAATTTATTCATTGACAGGAGTTAAGAAATAAGCTACTTTTTGGCAAGAATTTCTCGTTTCATAGCAGCTATAGCTGCTTTCTTTTCTTTTACTGTTTGCCGAAAACTATTGGCCTTGGCCAAAAGTGTCAAGTTATTCTTTGCCTCAGCATCTTCTAAGAAGCAATCTGCCGCCTCAAGCAGCCACTTGAGAGTTTTCTGGAGTTTCAACTTCCTCTCGTGCATTCTCTCCAGCTCCATTTCAACAGCTTTCTCTTCAAAATTTTCTGCTCACAGGCTGGTTATTTCTTGCGCTCTTCTAAGTATGCAGCGTATTTCTGCCTTGATAGGCGTACAGAGGACTTTAACTCCTTCGACAGTGGAATAGTCAACAGGCCACGGTTTTTGATAGCGTCGAAGATGATCCGCTGAGGAACATGAAATCTCTGCCAAGTTTTCAAAAACAATCTGCTTGTTACCTCTGAAGCCCCTTTCGACGGAAGCTTGGCCCTGACTGAGCAGAAGGAGCAGCTTTAGTGCTTCCCACAGTGTGGAAAAGGAAGTGTCGTACTTCGTCAGGCGCACAACTAAAAAACTTATCAATACGCTCTTGGCTTCTTTCGTAGCCTTGCAGTTCATATCGAAATTCGTGACAAAAATTCACATGCTGCCCACAAACCTGGTCTCTCTTGTGCTCAGAAAAAAGTTTTGCATCGATAAGGCAATTGAAAACAACTTTGAGCTTCCCGAGGCATTTTTCTGTTCTCGACATTTCCCTGGGATCAAAGCAGGATAGCCCTCTGATAATTATGTACTTGAGAGGACTTTTTTCACGAAGCTTGAACGTCATTTCAACCAGAAACTTGCGACACTCAAATCTAACCTCAAGAATACATTTAGGGCTCGCCTTGCTGTTTTTCAGTATTTTCTCCGCTGCACATCCAGACAGGAGCTCTAGGAGTAGTGAGACGACACAGCCTTCATTGTCCACAGAACCTCGGCTTCAGCAACCATTTCGTGCTTCCAACAATCCGTGTCAAGGGCCGTAAGGTACTGGCACCTGCACGCTGGTGCCTGGGCATATCCAGCGCCAAGTCTGATGCTAGTAGATAAGAGGTGATAGATGAGCTGGAAGCAGCTGACTCGACTTCAGATCGATGCTTTGCGCTTTTCAAATGACTCTTCAAAGTGCTTTCACCCATTATGGCAACATCAAGTGACTTTCGACAAATCACAAACTTCGCTCGGAAGAAGTCATTCGTATCTGGGTTCACCCACTGGTGATAGTCTTAGTGTTCCAGCCAAGGCGAGAACTTACACTTTCGACCCGGCATTTTGGCTTTGAATCTTGATTGAAAGTGTCTCACGCTCACCAACACTATCCTCAACACACCCAACAAAAAGAAAAAATGGCGATGACACGGGACGTCTTGGATTGGATTGGCTTTATCCTTTAGAACGAACGACATGCCGTGTTGCCATACGATGCGGCCCCATTAAAGGACACATGCAAAGGAAAAAAACATTTTTTTTAGACAGCTTAGATGGAAAAAGGATGTCATAAAACGATTTTACAACGAAGAAACAAAATTTTTAGAGCTATATTTACGGCGCTATACGAATTTGTAGTTGGCGCTCGCGGGAGCCGCTGCAGGTCACGTGGTAGGCCCGCGCGCCGCCGCGCTGCGTCGCCGCCGCACGCTGAGCGTTGTGCGAACGCCGCTTCAACGCGTTTCTCCAAGCCGCCGTCGCCGCCGCCGCACAAGTTCGTCTGCTTCGGGGCGCCGCCGCCGTCGTCTGACCGGCGCACAGGTCTATCACGTCTGCTTGCGTTTTTTCAGGAGTTTCCTTTGGGCTCTAAAAGTTACTTATTCGTCTTGGTTTTTTGTTATACTTCAAACAAAGATGAATAAGTTACTTTTAGAGGCCATAGGAAGCTTCCGAAAGAGCGCAAGCACCACGTGATAAATAAAGACCAGTCACGTGATAAATACAGACCACTTTTCCGCGGTGCCCGCGGGCGCCTACTACAAAATCGTTTTGCGCCGTAAATATAGCTCTAAAAATTTTTTTTCTTCGTTGTAAAATCGTTTTATGGCGTCCTTTTTCCATCTAAGCCGTTTAAAAAAAATGTTTTTTTCCTTTGCATGTGTCCTTTAACGCATTTGTTGGAGGATTTTCAAGGAATACAAGGATCGTCTCAACTTTCATGGATATTTAAAAGCCCTTGAAAAGCTTCTAACGAAATTCAGGGTATTCAAGGATTTCAAGGAGCTGTACAAACCCCGGTGTCATTAACCCTTCGAGGTTCATTTCCTTTTCGAAACACGTTTCACAATGGTTGAGTGTTTTTTCCAGAGGAGTATAAAAGAAGGTCAGAGCAAAATTAATTTTTTTATCTAGCGGAAGCACAATATTGCACTTGCAACCTGTTCAGATTTAGAAGCATCAGACAGAGATAGTGAAGGCAAAAAGTTGTCACCTTTCTTCCATTCCGTTTCATTTTGGTGTGTCCGCTTCCGCAAGAGTCTGTTCGTTTCAGACTCGGAACAGGAGGTGCTTGACAGACCTGCCTCATCGGTGGGTAACCTCTCATCCTCTAAACTAAATTCTGAGAAGCGTTAAGAGTCTGAATCGAAAGAGCTGGCATGTCAAGCGACCATTTTGCATATATCACGTGCGTGGAGCATCCAAATGCAAAACTATAAATAACAACAGAAAAGCCATACACCGTGCTAACATAATGTTTATAGTTTGCCAAAGGCAAAAACAAATAGCACCACCTCCTGTGGTGTGCGCGGTTTTGTATTTAGGCGAGCACTTTCAAGGGTGTAACTGTCACTGTACATGTACACTGACGACTCTCAAAGGGTTAACCCTTTCTCAGTCGAGTATTTTTCTCACAGGGACACAACACCCCCCCAAAATATGTTTTGAAATTTTTTTTCCAGGTGATTTAATATGGTGTCGGGAGACTACCCAATCAATATTTTGCTACAGAGTGACATATCATTTTGATAAAGCCAAAAAACTCAACTGCTTGAAACCGAAACTGAAACACAAGCCCGGAAGCTCATAGCCAGAAGTCACGTGACTACACTCGACCACATTTGTTTTCTCTCCGCTTCTCCGGCATGTGAAGCAGACGATGAAGTTGATGCACCGTTTCTCGTGAGATTGCTTTGCACTTATATTCCTTCCGCCCAATGATCTCTGCTTGAAGACCGATTAGTCAGTAGCACGAATGACACGTCTGTTGCAAAGTTGGTCCGTCGTGCGCCGCCATCATGTTGTCCATCTCGCGGTACTTCACCATATTGAGAACGACGTGCACACATATTTCCTATGATTCGTGCAACATTATGTTTTCGATCAACATATTCGCAGCATTTTGACCCTCGAGCACGCGCTCTGGCCAATCACAGCTTCGTAAACATGAGATGGGAGGCTGTGGGGAAATCCCGACCACGCCAAAACTATCCGGCTGGCGCCATTTTGAAAGCCGGCAAAGAGAAAAAATTCACGTTAGAAACAAGACAAAGATGGTGGCTGCCGGCCGCATGGTGCAGTAACGGGGAGCTCAGGAATTGGGGTCAGATTTCGAGTTTGACCACTTTTTGGATGCTATCCGCGTCTCGTAATGATCTTTTTTAACATATTATAGAGCGAATGAAATGCTGCTATCCGTGATGGCGGCTGAGGTCACTTGATCTCTCTAGCTCCGAGTATAAGTTTTAATTCCGGGGGACGAAGGGCTATGTGCGTTCTCAACGTGCCTCAGTAACTACGAAGCCGCGGTATGTCGGTTATTGTAGATAAAACAGATTGGGACTGCGGTATTGGCTTTGTGAAGCTAAGCAACTATTTTGGAGATACGAATATGCCGCCGCCGATGCATTTGGAGACATACCAGAAAACGGCAACAAGCATGCATGATGCAAGCAACGCAATGGAGGGCGCCGCAAAGGCTGTGAGGAAAGTGCAGGAAAAGGAGGCTCAAGATTAAGTGCAGAACAATAGAGGTGATGGTCTTGATGTCTGTGTGAATTACGATGGCACAAGGCCGAAGTGTGGATACGCGTCACACTTTGGAGTTGGTGCAGTCGTCAAACTCAAGAGTGGCTTAGTCCCCCCCCCCCCCAATGACGTCTCAGTCCGAAACAACTATTGCCACGTCCCTGGTCCAAAAAAAGATTTAAATGGATATCAAGCAGCAGAAGATCCAGTACAAGAGTGTGCTTAGCGACGGCGACAGTAAGGCTTTTAAGCATGTTGCGAGTCGAGGATTCTACGACAGGGATTTTCAGAAGGAAGACCGTGTCAATCATGTGGCAAAGTGATGTACGCGGGGATGGAGAAGTTAAAGAAGACCAAGAAGGGACTCGGAGGTTTCGTCCAATGTTGTGACGAAGAGGCTAATAAGCTCCTATGCAAATGCCTCGAAGAACGATGCACTGGACGTGACAACAATGCATAAGGAGGAGTTTGCAAGCTTGCTTCACTCCTGCTCTACTCTTGCCGAGCCCCAACACCAGGCGTGTCCTCAAGGCAAAGAGTCTTGGTGTCACTTCAATCGTGACAAAGCAGACAAGCTAAGTGCACGACGCTCACATTGCCCAGCCTTCTCAAGTGAGATAGCGAAAGAGCTAATGCCGCTCTACAACCAACTGTTGGACAAAGCACTGCTGGTAAGATGCTGCAGGATGAAGCCTCAAAATGCCAATGAGTCTTTTAATGTTCTGGTTTGGAAGAGGTGCCCCAAAACTGAGTTTGTGTCACTGCGCACTGTGGGAACCGCCGTCGCAATGGCAGTCCTCAAATTCAACCTGGTTCCACGGGGCTTTTAATAGACTGCTTGGCAAGATGGGCATAGAGCCTGGAAGCCACCATGTAGCGCACACCAAGGAAGCAACTGAGCTGGAGATCACGAAGACCAAGGCAAAGGCACTGAACTCCTCCTGCAATGGCGCGGGATCTTAACGGTGACGGCAAACGAAGAGGCTTCCGTGGGCCAAAGTTTGGATAGGTGGCAATGCCTCCCCGAGTTAAAGGTGGGCCTTGGAATGTACGCCGCAGAAATGCGCGATCGGTTCCTAACCGTGACGCAATCACCGAGCAAGCGCGGAAGATATGGTTGATGCTGTCATTTGCAAAGTGCAAGATTTCGTTGGACGACGCTGACGAGGTGCTTTGAGAACGTAGCAGTGATGACGACGGGAATGACATCACCAGTGCAGACGAATCACAGTCTCTAGTAGTGGACAGAGTGAGAATGACAGGAAGCAGCTTAAATTGTCCCGCCTCCAGCGTGAGCTTCCTAGTTTCGACAACTCCTGGGCATCTCATGCGCCTCGCGTGTGCATGCGCAGCCAAAGCACGCCAGAAGGCATCTATCCCGTGCTGGAGCCTGGGCTTTTGCAAGAAATACCCTGCCGTTGTCACGCGCTTGCCGTAAAATGCACCTGTAAAGGTGTTCTTTTTTTTTTCCATTAGGCGATGGGGGGGTCGACTTACAATCGTATAAATACAATATGTCCACCGTCCTAGTGGCATACATCGAACTCAAAACGCCGTAGGAATGTAAGCCGCAAACGTTGGTCTGGATGTGATCATAGATATTCCTAAGTCCCTGAACATCTCGCTCCGACTCGACCGCTGGTAGGCTTCGGTGCCTCTCAGTAGGTATTCTCGCTGAGTGTTCCGCTTGTCTCCAATGCATTCAGCCAGGATTTCTATAGCATCTCTATAGCATGCTGCTGTAGCCTGCAGTCCGGAGATGGCACTGGCAGTTGGTCCGATTAGTAGAGAGCGTAGGTGTTTTCTGCTTCAGAGAGCTTGGTGTTGCAATGTACATACTGCGGCATCTAACTGCTCCCTGAAAGATTGCCACTGTGTGAGCTTGCCTCGATACTGCAAAAGTTGTAGTTTGAGGAGCTTCACTTCCGTGGTGTGGGAGGGGTCGTCTCTGTCAAGGTCGGCTTCTGGACTGGTTACGGTCGTGGCCGCCCAACAACGCGCTATCTTGTTACATAACTCACCAAGCACTCCTGCAACACCGTCCTCGCAGTCTGCAACAGAAACGTAGTCAGTTTCCGGGTCAGCATCACTGATGTGCAGCTCAATCTTCACAATGACCTTGCAAAATTCTTCGCTGCAGGCGATCAATCTGTCTTGTAGGTTCTCGAGGGAGTTAACATAGAGTGCGGATGACTGGAGTGCAGTTGCAATCTCACTGATGATCTTCGTGTTCTGGTTCCACCGAATCTTCCGCCTTGTTTTCAGCCAATCCCCTTTTGGGTTGATTCCTGACGTCCAAAGTTTCAGGTTTCGGCAACAATATGTTGCGTTTTGAAGTGCTCCTCCAGTTCGGCGACTTTGATGGTGATGTGGAGGTCGTTCACCGAAAGACAGGACGACCGGCTTCAACGATAAACCGACACATTCTATCTGGCTCGCGATCGCCTCGTCTCGCCTCTTCTCGGAGAGCAAAAACCAGAATGCTCTGTGGCCGCTATTCTGCATTAAATATTTAACGCAACTCACATAATGGACAATTTTTTGAGGGAACGGAGGCGTCCATATCAACCAGATGTGACTCCGATTTTTCTTTCGTTGCAGTGTTTTATGGCGTCGGATGCACCACTGCAATGCATTCACTTTATGCTCAGGCACGTAAATGACCACAAATGCTTCTTTCTCAGAGTTATAGTAAGTCTTAAGAACCACTAACTTGAAGTACTTAAATAAAACGCTGCACTCAATTGAAAAAACACATTAAGTGCCTGGTAGACATGTATGACAGAAGAAAAAAAATTTTGGAGAGGGGGAGGGGGCCTTTCCTCCCCCCAAAGAGGACAACAAAAATACAGAGAAATGTTTAGGTAGCAAGACTCACTTTGAGTACTGCAGCACACTTCTATTTTGGGACATTGTGCCAAAATAGAAGCACATTTCAGAATTTCTCTTCACTCAAAATAATCTCACAATGTAAACATTGCTCTAAATTTTTTTTTTTTTTTTTCAGTGTCATTTTCTTTTGCGACTATCGCCCGTAGTTCTGGCACTTTTTGGGAGTGTCCCATTAGGAGGAAAGAGGATTCTCAAAGAGACACCTGTACCATTCCCAGCACAGAGCTTCAGGACCTGGAGTAGGCAGAACTAAAGCATCTTCAAGAGTCTTCTAAGCAGCACAAAATGTGCCAATGCAGAAGGGTCGTGCCTCGAGCAAATGGTAGCTCAGCAGTCGCTGGTGGCACAACAATGGTTGTTGGTACTCGCGAGAAGCATGAAGCGTGGACCTGATCCAGGGGCTCTAGGAGGAACGGCTGCCTTGAGAGAGGGCACTTACGACGGCTGTTGGTGCCACTCGAACTGGCTGTGTGGGAGGCCCGGACCTTGCACCGGCCAGCCGGCTCCGAGGCAGTGCTGGGTGCCAGCGGCACCGTGCTCTGCAACCTGGGAGGAAAAGATGCCACCCTCCTTTACCCCCGAGTAACCACCACTCCCAAAGTCCTCGTCTTCCTAGCTCCCCCTCTTGCGGGACACTGCAATGCCACCTAAATGTGGCACTCTTCACTGGGCGGTGCCCCTTTCTTAAAAGAGACTTGGGCTAGTTGGTGGACGATGGCTAGGAAACTTGCAAGGGCAAAACAGAGATGGACACGAAGCAGGCGACGCTTGTCTCTGTCCGTCTCTATTTTGGGTTCAAAAGCTTCTCGGGTCTCTACCCAACCAGCTGTCGACAATCTAGAGTGCCGCAGCATTAGCCAAAAGTCTAGCAACGCTGCCACAGGTTAAGAGCCTACGAGGGCAGGCAGAGAGGCTGAAACCGGGCAAAGAGGTTTTCGGTGGCTACAATTGGGTATTGTTCCTTCTCGAAAAGGGTCCCTTGCAAAGTCTGCCCTCAAAACAGGGCCAGATCAGATGAACACAAGGCAGGCCAGCTTAAAACTGCCATGCTCTAAAATTCTCCTTGCCTGTCCAGGGGTGGAACTCATGAAACGTACTTGGGAGCAGCCACGGGAGCAGCTGAAACAGCTGTTTTGGAGCAGTTTGGGAGCAGCTAAAACTACGTTCTGGGGCAGGCTAGGAGCAGCCAGATCAGTTTTCATTGCACTTCAGCTTGTGTCTTAGACAAGAACGGGAGCAATTTCAATCGCGCTTAGCAGCACAGATGACCATGAGTGGTTAGAGACCTAGGTAGATGGGATGAGTGTAACAGATGCGAAAACTTGAAACTTTGCGAGCCTTAATGAGAATCAAAAAGCAAGTACCCTATGTTTCTAAAGATAGCGTCCTTCATATTTTCTCAGTGGCTTTCAGCTGCTCAAAATGCGAACTAGAACTGCTTATCGCACAACCCACACGTGCTCGACTAAGTAATTATATGTGCGAACCACGTGACGTGCGTAAGCAACGGACGTGCAGTTGCGCAGAGGAACAGGGCAACGAATTTCGAGTTTATCCTATTGTGCAACTCGATATCGAAGCAGCAGACTATGATTAACGAAGTTATCGTATTTGAAGCGATAAGCAGGAGCAAGGTTAAAGCACGCCGAGTAGGTCTACCACTCGCGTAAGAGGTGCTCGTCGGCAAGGGTTCGGATCGGACCGCGTTTCAGTTCTATCAAATCACGATTTATCTTGCGAAAATAAAATTCCAACTTCTAACGATGAAGTACTAAAAAGGAATATTTTGCTAATTTGTTTTCAACTGGCTGACGTCCGGATCTCGGATCCCGGGCCGCAGAGCCTCAGACATTAGCGAGTTTTAGTAGACCGTGTTTCCCGCTCCGCTCAGCCCCTCCGCTACCCGGAACTCTACAGCCAAGGCTGTCGGCGCGAAGGCGCAGTGGCGGTTGCTTCGTAGCGGAGGGTTAGCGGAGGGGAAAACACGGTCTTCTAAAACTCCCCAATATGACGCTTAACGACTCGACCTCACCTCAGCCGACAAGCTTAACAGCTTATGGTTGAAGAATAACAATCCAGTGGCAGATGGTGTAGCGCTTAGAATCCGATTTTTTTTTATCGCGTTTCCGACTCGGGATACACAGGGAGAATAAACGGAACAAAGGATTGCAAGGCCGACCAGGCTAAACGCGCTCATTGCTGCCCCATTCGAGTAATAAAACAGAAAACCAAGACAAACTAAAAACTTTTTTGACGCACGTTATGCGATTTGGCGCATAATGGCGCGAGGTATAGGCTGAGGCGCAGTTTCTGCAACATGGCGCAGGATGGCGCAGACACATGCGTCTGGCTCAAAATGGCGCAAATGGCGCAGCCGTTCCACCCCTGCTGTCACAGCTCAAACGAGGCTCTCTATGCGTCATGTGGCTTTGGCTCGGGGTGCAAGACTAACAGTTGAGCGAGGCCTTCTTCTCCTTTTAAACGCGTTGGTGGAAATTTCTAAAAATAAAAAGACGCCTCTAGAAACATTCCCAATCGAATGCAAAAAGTTTCACCTATCAGATGCAACACTAAATGCACCGGGACAGCTACACTTAACTCCAAATGCGGCAGCCACTGCCTTTACGCGTGTTCGGCACGGGTTGAGCTTCAATTCCTTTCAGAACATGAACTCCCACTAAAAAAAACAGCTTAGGAAAATATGTGAGTCGTCAAACGTCTTTCCTGCTCTAGAAAGCCACTTGGGACCATGTCGGTGTACCGCTTCTGTCCTTATTGGTTTGCACAGAGACCAGCTTTTATTAACCCCCAATTAGTAGCAGTTGAGACTATGAAGCAAGGCGGATGGCTCCGCCAACAATGCAACTCGAGGAGCATAACAGGGAGAGTTGCCCTGCTATATTTTAGCTTGTCCAGCATGCTCCTTAGGGGCATTTCTGCCACCTAGACTGCTGCCTCACACTCACTTGGAGTAAAGCATCAGACAATGCTCCTTCCTGTTGCCAACTGGCTTGCACAGCCGACCACCACACCAAGGAAAACAAGCTAGAAATCACTGCCTTCACATTAGGAAAGCATGCTGACCATTAAAGGTATGGTGAACCGAAATTTGGATTTCAAAAAAACAATGCTGGAGATGTAGGCGGGACGCTACAATCCCTACAACACTACTAGTAAGGCGATATCTCAAATGGACGGCCGCATTTTTGGAAAAAGAAGTCGAGATTGAACCAGGCCGACGAGGCGCGTGACGTCAATATACCTAGTTTCCTCCTCTCTTCGCTTCGCTCCCTCAAGGCCGCGAGGCGGAGAAGACGCGAGGCCGTTCCCTCTCCTTCTCGGAGAAACATGACGTCAACATTCCTGCCAAATGCGCCTCCTTTTTTTTAAAAATACCATCATCCGTTCGAGATATCGCTGTATGAGTGATGTTTTGGTGTTTGTAGCATCCCGTTGCACGCTTTTGCCGCGTGTTTTGGGGAATCCAGATTTTGGTTCAGCATCCCTTTAAAGCTTTAATGGCACAATGGCAACCAAGGCCATACTCTGCCGAACCAAGTATGAAAGCCAAGGGGCAATAGTACCCAACCATGCATTCTGGCGAGATAACTCGGCAGAAGTATGCCACGCGCAACTTCCACGTTCCATGCACCTTGCTACAACACAATGGCCACCGGTGAACCTTCGCCCGACGTTTTTCTACGTACAAAGGCGGTGTTTTGACTTGCTCCAGTTCCTTTGCATCCGAATGGACAATGCAAGGCAGCGTAGTCGGCCGATACTCAATTTCCGCGCATCATTTGGGGGCTAATAATCAGAATCACTTCCTGCCAGAAAATCCTTCCCTGGTGTCCTTCTTACACTCTACCTTCTTTTATGGCCAAACTTTATGGCCAGTTAGAGAGCTAATCCCACACAAAAGAGGAGGGGTTTTCTCCTTTCTTGTAGGCCCAACTTTAAAGGGGCACCGACGCACCCCCAGAATAACTTATTTTCTCCGTGAAACCCTAGATTAGGCAGACATAACCCAAAAGTTTTATCACTGTAGGGTTGTGCATTTACTAAAAAGAAAAAAATTAACTTACCGTAAAATAATGGGCAAGCGCCCACTCAAAATTGAGAGATAATCGTGAAAAAATGGGGAATGGGCGCTTGTTCAGTCATCAATTTTACATATAAATGTACTGTGCATATTTTCTCAGATCTTAGAAATTTGGATATCGGCGCTTAATGTGGAATGGGCGGATGCATGGTATTTTACGGTAGTCAAACCAAAACCTGACGGCCAGTACGGTGCACCTTGATGTCAAAACATGCGAGCCGTAAAGAGTTTCTTCCTGCAACTATGAGCTCCAAATTCAATTCACCGATGCATTTCTATTGATAAAATTCTGTTTCCTAGATTCTATCGCTTTTGCACTCTAGAAGGCCCAGAATTTGAAAAATATTTTGTGCACTGTGTCGTCTTAGCAAGTGACTGTAAAAGAGGATGAGAGAAGATCCGAACATGCAGTCCTCAACCGGCACTTTTTGTGCAGGAAAGCAAAATGTCGAGCCCCAACCATTTGCTCTAAGGCGGCCCTGGGAGATGGTTCGAGTCCAAACCTCAGCAAGCGGAAATACCTGGTGGGCGTCCCCTTAAGACGAGCCGGCACTTGGGCAGTTGGCTCATCGGCGGCCGGAGTGGCCCCGGTCGACGTGCCAGGACCGCTTCAACCAGAGAAAAAAAAGCAGAGGAGGCACACACACACGTCACCAATCATACTCCTCGAGTTGATTGGAACCGTCAAACATAAAAACGATACTAGTGGCTAAGAAGTTCTCCGAGGGGGGGCTTTTTTGTTCTATTTTTCTTTTATACTGGCAATTATCAGTAGTTTATCTTAGGGGGTACATTTTACAGCGTATGTATATTGACATCTGTCTGTCGCTGTGTGCGTTATTTTGTTTACATGCCACTACTAGAAGATCGTTACATGGCACGTAAACAGCGTCTCGGTAAGGATCATGGGGCGGGGGGGGGGGGGGGGGGGGGGGGGGGGGGGCTCTTTCCCCGATTTCACCAGGGGGGAGAATGAGCCCCGATGCCCCCCCCCCCCCCCCCCCCCGTAGTCTACGCCTATGAGAGCAGGTATCGATTTGGAAATGCAATATCCTAATTATGTTTTTGCAAACTTTATTGACCTTTTAAAGGGCTTCTCAAGCTAAGGCTTTTTGAAGTCTTTATTTTCCTATTCTAGATTAAAAATTTTATGAAGCTTATGGCTAGTTACTAACAAGCTACTGCACTTCATGAGAAGCAAAATTGACTATTGTATCATACTTTTTATAAAAAATTAGTGTGCCTAAATCTGCGTAAAAAAAAAAAAAGTCTAAGGACACCTAGGCACTTCTTGAGAAATTGTGAGTGCGAAAGCATGAATGTCGTTCTTCCACTCCCTTAGTTTGTCTGCGGTTTAGTGGCGTAGACTACCCCATTTTGCCGGCGGACAGCCGAGCGCGCGCTTCCGTGAAGTGGCTGCGCTGAGCTCGGCCCTGCGGCCTCACTGGAGACTGCCTGGACGGGCTCTGGCTCTGCCGCCACCGCTCCCTCCTCTTACCGGCGGGCGCGCCACTGCGTGCACTGCGCCGCCATGGAGAGGGTTTCTATGGTAGCTTTTTTGGGAATTACGCCGCACAAGAGCCAATGGGAGCCTCGTTCCTTGATGACGCACACCAGCCAATGAGAGCATAATACATCAGAAATCAGATGCACTGGGGAAAGGGGATTTTAAGTGCCGTATGACCAACGTTTGGCGTGGTTTCAAAGCTGATGACGTCAGTTCGCTCCGTGGGACAGGTAATGCTTTCGCATTTACACCTTTTTCATGTAGTTGTTTCGGCCTCTGAACACAAAACTATAGAGGCTATATTAAAACTGATGATAATTTTGAAAAGACAAAACGTGATACATAGCGCAAGTTTTAGTATTTTAGAGCAAATATAAAAAAAGGTGACTCCGACCTGCATCTTGCCTTAAGTGAGGCAAACAACATTCGAGGGGCAAGGCTCCATACATCATTGGTAAGAACCCAAAGGAGTGCAAGTCAAGTGACCAATGCGCAACCACTGTCTGTGTGGCAATATCAAGCAACTTTTGATCAGTCAATCACGCAACAGGAATGGTGAGATACCATGTCGAAACTAGAAACAAGTTGAGAAGATCTTGGCGGGCAGCGGACAACTGCGGCAGATTCTTTAGTATTTATTGGTTACACTTCCCTAAAGTACACAAGCAAAAGAAAAATAACATGTTTTTTAAACAGCCTGGATGGGAAAAGGAAGTCATAAAACGAATTTATAACAAAAAAGAAAAAAGTTTAGAGCTATATTTACGGCGCGAAATGAAGTTATTGTTGGCACCCACAGGCGCCGCAGGAAAGTGGCCGCTATTTATCACCTGACTAGCTGCTATTTATCGCGTGGTGCTTACGCTCTTTCGAAAGCTTCCTACGGTCTCTAAAAGTTACTTGTAAGTCTTCGTTTTAAGTGCAAAAAAAAAAAACAAAGATTAATGAGTAACTTTTACAGCCCAAAGAAAGCTCGTGAAAGCTCCTGAAAGAACGCAAGCACCACCTAATAGACCTGTGCATCGGTCAGAAGTTGACGGCGGTGGCGCACTGGAGTGTTCCCTTCCGGCGGCGAGGAGAAATGCGTTGAACCAGCGGCGCACCACGCTCAGCGTGCGGTGGCGGCAGAACTTTGCGGCGGCGGCGCACAGGTCTACCACGTGACCAGCTGCGACTCTCGCGGGTGCCAACTACAAATTCGTTTTGCGCCGTAAATATAGCTCTAAAAATGTTTTTTTCTTCGTTGTAAATTTGTTTTATGACATTCTTTTTCCATCTAGGCTGTTTAAAAGAAAAAAATCTGCATGTGTCTTTTAAAAGGACACCGCATATATGCTTACATTTGGATGGAAATGCAATCCATAAAGTCCCCACAATTGAGACAAGGTATCCAACTCATAAGTTGGCTTTTTTTCTGCATCAAAACCTTTGGCCAACAACCAGCTGCTTGGGCCTACCCTAGGTACTTTTTTTTCCAGTGGTCATGCACGATAATGACGCAACGCGGAATGTTTTTTTAAGTAAGAAAATTTCGGAGGCATGTCTTTCATAAATAAATAGTGAAAGAGTCCAAGTCAATAAAAATAGATTTGCCATATCTCTATTTCATTGTACCTCGACAATGCTAATAAAAACTTAGTAAAATAGTAAACTTAGTAAAAAGTTAGTAAAATACAGCAACACTTTTGCTGTATTTTACTAACACGGCATGTCACAGTTGTGACGCGTATATCATCACGTCGTATAAATACCGCTGTGCCATGGCTTAAAATTTTCCGATGAAAAATTAGCAACAATAAATCTGGATTTGCGTAAAATGAGGAAAAGCTGCATGCATTTTTTATGGGGCTTGGAGGCAGTAACACCCCCTTTTAAGGGCAAACATTCTTCAGAAAGTTAGGATATTTAGCAAAACACTCGCATTGGAGTAAAATTCTGTCCCAGTGGCACCACCAGGCAGATACGCACCGGCCACGGTTGGTCTAGAGCTACCAAGTAAGCTACACTCTAAGTATCCACACTTCATTCCCCAATTTTCTTACGGGGGCGCTTTTTGGCCGCTTCGTGCAGAGCAAATTGGAGATTGTTACCAAAATGAAGATTGCTGTGCCAGGAAGCCCAGACGATATTGTTTTGCCCTGCTGCAGACTGTTTTAACATTTCTGGAGGAAGGAAAAGCGATTCCTGCTATTTCAGATAAAATTGAGGTAACTTGCAATTTTGGGCTCTCAAGCGTAGCTTCTTCAGTGGCTATAGGTTGGCCCAAACAGCGGCCAAACCCGCAATCTCGAAGCACGGCAGGCCACCTCTCACAACTCACCTCTCCCAGTCGACCCACTCCTTGGGCTTCTCCCACTGCGACACCTCCGTCTTGCAGTTGTAGTAGTACTTCTTGCCCGAGGAACTGACGTGCTCCGACCAGTCGCCCACCTGCTGCCGAAGCTTTTCCTTGCTCTCCTGCGGGCAGGGAAACACTGCTTGTCAGCCTCGCGACATGCCACCGTGCTTCCTCAACACGTTTGTGCGGCCACTGAACCCCCAAAGAGAAACCTTCTCCATTCGTATGACCTGTGCAGTGCCTGTACACCCAAAGGTCTTTCATTCGTCCCTGGACGGATCCTTAAACATCAGATAACAGCTCCGAAAGATTGAGGTCGCAGAATGCTGTGGCTAGCACGAGTCACTCATTTTACCAACCATTAAATATGGGAGCCCAGTTTGGAAACCATTCATGCAACAAAACATTTACAAAATAGAATGCATACTAAGTAAAGCCGTCCAATTTATTTGCAATCACCATCAATCCACAGATACAGTCTCCCCACTCAAGTCCGACGCAAACCTTCTGTCCACAAGACCAGGATGATGTTGACTCAAATTAAATTATTTTTTAAATTGCTACATGCTTATTACCATATTGATATTCAGAGATATCTTACATAAGCAAACTTCAATAACCCAACTAGAACGAAACAAAGCAAAGTTATTCTGTCTTAACGTTTTAATACAGATTCTTATAAGAACACTTTTCTTGTTAAATGTGTCGATCAATGGAACTGCCTAACCATGAATACTGTAAATAGTCAAAATGAGTGTGGTTTTATTTACAACATTATTAATACTTAAAGGGGGGGTGCAACGATTTCCGGACTTCGGTCAAAGAATTCTGGAAGTTGCCCTCTGACACTTCCGAAGTAAAGAACAGAAAACCGATTTCGCCTGCATGTTCTAGTTGTAGCGTAAAAAAAAAGATAAATATTGTCATTTCGGGCACCCCTCAACTCGCTCCCAGCCTTCAGGGTCACACCTGGTCCCCCTCCTAGTGACGTCATTCGGAGTGCCGTGTAGCTTCCCTTGTGTTCTCTCGGAGGACGCTTCCTCTCCCTCTCTCTGCTGACATTAGCGGGCGTTACGCTGCAGCTTAGAGCCGAGCGAGGTCACGTAATCTTTTCGCCGTAGTTCCTTCGGCTGCCACTTGGGGCTAAAGGTGGGGGGAAAAGCTCGATTTTTGCTTTGCGATTTTTGCTTTGCGATTATGCAGCGGAATCACGAAATTTTTAATGAAGGAGGTGCTTTCTTTATCCTCTGGGACACGATAAACAACGTAAAAATGACGAGATGCAAATTCTTTTAATCATAAAATCGTTGCATCGCCCCTTTAAGAAATCGCCTTGTTAAGTCTTAAAATAGGTCTTAAAGGGTCTTAAAATAGTAAAAAAAATCACTAAAAGTGCCATTTTTTACAAATCCAGATTTAAAGCCTTTTTAATCCAAAGTATACTCTCCCATAAGATAAATGCTAAATTCAATTTCTAAAATATATAATAAAAAAAAAATTGTAGGCATTAAAGGACTTGATTTGAAGCCTGAACTTCTAAAAGTATTGTATTTCAAGCCGTCGCAAATCCACAACCACGGAGCCAACCGGCACCATCTTAGTCTTGTTTCAAAGCTAGTTTTTTACACTTTGTTTAAATGTGCTTTGAATCGGCGTCTGCATCAAGGTGGCAACGTCATCGCTGCTTTTCGAAAGAGTGTGAGCAGAGCTTAAGCGACGCTAATTGAGCAAAGCGCACGCTCCTCCAAAGCGCCACTCTCCAATTGGCCTTGGCTCCTCTTCCGGCTTCCCTGGCACATTCCCTCACATGCTCCGCGCCATCTGCTTTCGTTTGCTACACTGTCCGAGATGCACGCTGCCTTCGCACTTCTCCAGTTTCTATTTTATTTCAATATTTTTAGCGTTTCCTTTGAGCTTTCGAATGTTTTTCGTGCCCCTGGTTTTTCTCTTATTGTTTGTGTAAAAAGTTTGGTCCTTGACTCACTTTTATTTGCTCAGCTTTTATTTTTGCGTACATTTGCCCGCTTCGCATCTTTGTTCTATTTAGTTTTGTGCATTTCGATGGCAGGGGACCCCCATCTGAAAGTGAGCATGCGAAAAGTGAAGAGCAAGCGTAGATGTGCCTGGAATAAGAAGAGCACTACATCGTTGAGAACGACACTGCCAACATCGGCAGCACCGCAAGTCGTATTGCTACTTGTGGACGTGGCTGAACCAACAACTTCAGCGACACCACAAGGCACTTCCCCGCCGGTGGAAGTCTGGACCAAGCCCGTGCACTGATCGGATTGACACTGTATTCTACACGGAGGAGTGTACAGAACACAAACTGCAGACGCAAAGTCTTCGTTGGCAGAGAAGTCGGTGACTTTGCGAAAGTTTGAGCTTCTGGACATCAGCTTGGCCAGCGACGACGACGATCGCGGCCCGAAGTACGTCATCGTGGACATGGAAGTACTGCAGAAGCTCTTCGCATCCACGACATGCTGCAAGTGCGGGATGGCCACTGTTGAACTGCGACGAGAGGCAGTACAGCCTAGCGGTGAAGTAAGAGCTCACATGCTCAAGCTGCTATTTTGCCGAGCACCCCTTTTCATCTCCCCCAAGTCGCAGAAGCAGCCAAGATCAAGCCCTTCGACTCGAGAGCAATGAGCAGGATCATAAAGGGCATAGAAAAAGGAGAGACTGCCTTTGCGGGCTTCTGTGCCACCCTGAACCTCGCCCAATTGGGGCTTCACCACAAAACCTTCAGGGGACACGTGGACACCATGCTGCAAGCATGTCAGGGAGTAGCAACAGCCACAGATGCAGGAAGTGTGCAGGTGATCAAGGGCCTGTACCACAACTTCCTCAACCCCGTTAAAACCGTAAACATAATTTTTGATGGGACACGGAAGACTCGTGGTCACAACTAGAACATTGCAGTGGGATGCATTCTCGAGCTGTATTCAGGCCTGGTGCTGGATCACGTTGTCCTCTCCAGGTACTGCCGTGGCTGCAATGGGCACCCGACCCAGATGACGGCTATGGTCACTGGGCTATGAACCACAAGTGCCTCAAGAACGTCGATTGCAAAGCTGGATGAATGGAAGCCAGTCCTGATCCTGATCAAAAGGTGCCTGGAGAAGAATGGGCTGCTCTACATAACCATCCTCTGCGACGGAGACAGCCACGTCTTCCATGCTTTGACACAGGAGGGCACTTCTGGCTACATCGACATCAAAAAGAAGGACTGCCTGAACAACGTGCACAAGCGGATGGGCTCTTCGCACCTTGGTGGAGAAGGAGCAAGGGGAGTCTTTTCGGTGGAAAAGGGAAGCTGACCCAGGACAAGATAAAAACTACCCCAAACTACTATAGGCTCTGGGCAGGGTTCCAGAGAGCGCCACCATCAGTTGGTCATCAGCGCCACCGTGGCTAAATGAAGCAATACTGGGACAGCTAAAATCGGCAGCATCGCCAGCATACCCTTGCGAGATTATGTTATTACCAACTCCAAGCGTTGTGTTGTCGCGCATTACACTAACGACTGTTTTAAGAATCTATCAAACATTAAATATACAGATGTGCATCCGTGTGTGGTTGTGTCGTTCTAGCATTAGGGAGTTTTAGTAGGTGCCTTCCTCGATAGGTAGAGGCAACCCAAACGGGAGCTAGCAGAACAAAATTGAACGTCATAATATTATGGCCAAATATAAGTGAAAGCAAATAAACTAGGACAGTTTTTTGTTTGTTTTTTACATTGTTTGCACGCGCTTCAAGATAACAAAACTGAAGACTTCATCGAGCTTCCCTCCTCTACAAAAGCGCACTGCAAAAGCGGATCTAAAAACGCCCCCCCCCCCCCCTCTCATCCTTACCCACCCTTTTTTTCCAAGTGAACTCTTCCCGCATGAATAGCTGATCTCATTTTGGTGATCAGCTTGTTTCCAGTCCCCTCGTCGCCATGTTAAAGACTATTGTGGTGTCCGAGGGATGCGTTTTTCGTGCAAGCTGGCTTTAGTTTGGACGGTGTCGTACGCAGTTGCTTGGCGCAAGCCGATGCTCGTTCTTGTCCAATGAATATGTTGTTCACTTTTACATAGAACAGAAATAAACGCCGCATGGATAACATTTTCTCGTGGGGTAAGTACTTTTTTTTTATGATTTCTTGGTTAGACTTTTTTTGCAGCAGGGATGAAGTTAGGACCGCATAGACACAGGTCGAAATAGAGCAACCATCTTGGGCAGCTACGCAATCATGCTTGCTAAAGGCACAAACGACAGTTCGTTCTGCAATCGGCGAAGCGAAGAAAAAGCTCACTTCGGTTTTCGGTAACTACAATCAAACGTCCAAGAAACGTTGTTCGATCAAGATGTGTCCGCGGTGCAGAGAACAATGAGAGTGTCAAAGGACTGATCTGATTCTAGAGTCATTGCATCGAATTCAAAGACAACACCGGGCTTTGAGCACATCAATTCCAAATATCGAGACAAATAGCGCATTCAGAAATGCATCTCAAGTCAGGCAACGTGAACGGAATGCTTATTTTACACGCTTTATGGCATTTATTGATCTCCGACAAAGCTGCATTTTTCCAGTTTCGACGGGAACCAGCAGAGCTTCACGTCTGCAAGCTTCCAGGGTTACGACAGTCCGGTACGCAACAGTGCCTACAGCTTTGGCGTTGGCTCTTCTGCGACATCCGATAGCAATGCTAAGAAAAAAAAGACCAAAAACGCATGAATCAACACCTTCAAATTGATGCGTGAACAGCCCCACGAGCAAGCAGGCTGGTGAAAGGGCCTTCTCAGTGTTGCAAATATTTTGAGCTAGATGGCGTAACATGTCACACCAAACTTGACTGCCCGGAGGGTATGGATAAGTCTTGAGAAGCCACAGGCACGATGTCCCAGGGATGGACAAGGCAGTTGCATATGACATCGACAGACGAAGCCCCGGACCACAGCCACTGTCCTGAAGGGGACAATTCCTGGTGCCCGTACAACCGTGCACTGGCTAACCATGAGAAGGCACCACCACACACACAAGAGCGCTCTACCAGGCTTCATTTGCACTGCAGAGTCTCCCAGAGGCTGGGCAACCCCCTGAAGCACTGCAGTGATGGCATGACGCAGA